ATGGAGGAGATAGTCTATCCGAAAGTAAGATTGATTTAGACGGTACATTGTTTGGACCATGTTACGATCCTGGTACGGATTTATTACGAGGATTTGACACTAACATATCAAAAACAAGACCATATGCAAAAAAAAGCAAGAAAGAAATGTTTAAGAATGACATAGATCAAGAAGAAGATGTTGGACCTGAATGGGTAGATGGTGAGCCGCAAGGGATTGAATCATACATCGTAGATGGAAATGATGGTATATTTATAAAGTGAATTTGATCAGGATCGTACTTGTTCATTAAATATACATGAACATGTTTTATTATAGGACCACGTCGTTCAATAATAGTTGCAGATAAAAGACTGCCAGCTGGTTGGCAGAAACATTTTACTCAAAGAAAAGCAGGTACATCCGCTGGAAAATGGGATGTTTTATTTCTTCACAAATCAAGTGGAAAGAAATTTAGATCAAGAAATGATATCCGAGCATTCATGGAAAATCAGGGGCAATCAGACTTTGACCCAGAAAAATTTGATTTTTGTATTCATCGGAAAAAGAGAAGCCACGGTCCGAAAATAAAGCAAGAAATTGTTACAGAGATGCCAAAGAAAATTAAGACTTTATTACCGAAAACAAAAGCATTACCATTAGCTGACACATTACTTATACCTACAAATGCACCAGTTACAACTTTAGTGCCTACGCCAACAGCATCTGTTGCTGATGGTGGTAAGATATTCCATTTTTAATTGAATATTTCAAATATTTGTTACTTCATTAGACATATTACTTTTTCATGCATACCTATATTAGGGACAATTTACTGTAAGTGTCTTGGAAAAAAGAACATTATTCCAAAATTTTTTGATGAAAGATAATAGCTTGTAATTCCTTAATTTCTTATTATTAATGAAAATCCTATATTATTTCCAAACAGCTGTTTTTATTGGGGGACTTCGTGTAGAAATGGAGGATAGCGCTTATAAATGTCCGAAACAAGGGTGCAATAAAACCTTTAGAAAAGAAAATCTTTTGCAAATGCATATAAAACATTATCACCCAGAATATTCAAAATTTTTGGGATCAACTCCAAATGTTGCAGACTTAGCTTATGCAAGAACAATTGGAGAATCAATTGAAGATATTATACCTAGAAAATCGAATAATGTGTTAGAAAAATATAACAAATTAGGAAAGAAAAAAACTGGTCAAGATAAACCATTGTATGCAATGTCACCGACACAAACAAATTCTATTCAACCAACGTCACCGACGATAGCAATGCCAACAGTCTCCGAAGTAGAAGATGAATTTGACCAAATAGAACAGTCTAATGAAGCGCAAGTAGAAGATGTTAAAGTAGAAAGAATGTCTCCAATTTCTAGTCGCAGTGTAGATATGGACGATGAAATTGAGAAGAAACGAGAAGATATGTGTGCAATGTCACCAGGAACACTATTTGATCTGAAAGTCCGGGAAGAAAAAACACCAAGTGGTATTAAAACCCTTCTTCCAGTGAGACCAACTACATCATCAGAAATACAGAGAATCGATAGATCGAAATCCTTAGACGAAGGTATTCATATTGATAAAATGAAGGGTCAAAGGAAACGACAATTATCGGAGTATAGTTCTGATGTTCCAAGCAGGGGTAAAAGACGCCATGGTAATGATTATAATCTATTTTGCAATCATATTTATGCATCGAAAAAATATGAAATGTTCTTCTGTTACAGGTATTCAAGAAATTACGGATGAATACGGTGATTTAGATGAGAGTGCAGTAGATGCTGAAGGTCCGACTACACTTATGTACAGATACAGCCGCCGAAAATCAGATTCAAGAAGTGATGAGAACAGCCAAAGTAGTAAGTTCTTTTCAACTTGATTTACAATACTTTTTATAATTCCCATATTATTTTGCCATAAATTAGTTGCTGTTTAATTTTGTATAGTCGTAAAATATTAATTTCTCTTTCATGAAAAAAGAAATAATAGTTTACTGTTTTATTACTTCATTATTCTATAGGTCAACTAAACGATTCTCATCTCGAAAAAGCTGATCCCCTGAAAGGGGATGTAACTAAAAGAGATACAAATAATGATGGTGAAGGTATATTATTTATTTTTTTATCTGTTACTTTATTTATTTGCATTCAGTACTAATTTGTGTTATTAATATTTCCGTATTTCAAAACTTTTGAGTTATTATATTTAATGCTTCAAAGTGTGTTTCATAATATGTTTATTTTATAAAATGTTCGATTTGAATTGTACTATGTTACTGAAAGCAAATTTTATTTGAAATGTTTTTTAAATGTTATTTTTAGAAAATGAAGGCGTTATGATGATGATTAATGGTGAAATGATAAAAGTGGAACAACTTCGGAGAGAAGAAATAATAAATTGTACATGTGGATACATGGAAGAAGATGGCTTAATGATACAATGCGATCTCTGTTTATGCTGGCAACACGGACATTGCAACGCTATTGAAAAGGAGAAGGATGTTCCCGAAAAATACATTTGTTATATTTGTCAGAATCCCTATCGTCAAAGACCATCGAAAAAATATTTCCAGGATCAAGATTGGATAAAAGAGGGCAAACTGTCATCATTATCTAATCGATCGAAAAATCAATATGCACTTAATCAAAGAACAGCTATGTTGAAACGTTCTTATGATTTAGTTGCTGCTCTTTTGCAAATACAGCAAGTGCTGCACAGTTTAAGAATAAAAATTAATGTAGCTGAGTAGGTATTAGAAAATCTGGATTTAATAAAGACGTTATTGAGGCTATGAAAAATTATTAATATAAAAAATTATATTTTAGAAAGAAAGATCATCCAAAGTTATATCTGTGGGCAAAGAATTGGGAAAAGATTGAAATACAAAAACCAGATACAACGCCTGTACCAATTATAGAAATTACAAAAGCACTGAAAGATTCTGTAGACCCTGTAGTTGATGTGACACGTCGCATTGAAGTCAAAATGGAAACTAAATTTACTTTGAAAGAGGATCCTGATGAAAAATCAATAGCCTCAGATACGGAGTTGATGAAAATTTTAGAAGAAGATAATACACTTGCAGACGAATCTAAAATTGTTTGTAAGAAAGAAGATTCAACGGGTCAAAATAAAAGTCACATTCTTCTTGATGCACTTACAAAAAGTTCTAGCCAAGAAGGAAAATATAAGACTTCAACATCTGATACTAAAACGGTTGCAGGTAATAAAAACTGTCATTTGATAGTTTTTATTATCATTAAGAATACAATTAAAAATTTCCTATACATATATAGATCTATTATCAAATGAAACAACAGAAGATGATATATCTGCGCCAACATTATCAACACACGAAATGCAGGATGATAATGAACATGATTTATCAACACCATTACAACCTTTTATACCACAACCGGAGGCACCTATAGATCCAGGAGAATGTCGAATGCGGTTATTGGAACATATTGAACATTTTCAAAACCATGTAGATGCTAAATTAACATCTATTGAAGCGCAAGTTTGCGGTATGTAGTACTGCAATATTTGCTAACACTTAAGTACATAAACAATTTTATCATATAACATTTACAGCATTGGAAGCTATGGATCCAGAAGATGTACGTAGTCAAAACGTTCAACCTCGTACTAAACAAACAATTCAAATGCTACTCCGGGATTTAAATACAGTGCGAAAGTTAGCAGCTTTATGTTAGATAATTATTTTCCTGAAAATGACTTCAAAAATTATCTAATGCAACTACTACTTGTTTGTAGCATTGCTACAGCTTTGTTAAGAAGCAATTGTCTCGAGTTGTAATTAAAACTTGCAAATAGTTATATGTTCATATTTTATACTGTATATACAGTGAAGGGGTATAACTCGTAACTAAGATTGTATTAAATACGAATACAAATTATTATTGTGTATAAAGACCACTTAGTTCTGTTTAAGCACAATTATGACTAAATTGGTTATAATATTATTTATAGTTATGTTATTATTATAGTAAAATCGAATACTTTCCAAAATAAATATATACCATGCAGTACCTTTCATGCAAATACTAAAGAACTGAAGATGCGAAAAAAAGATGTGACACAATGGAAGTTAACAAATGATAGTATTGTTTTTATAAAATATATTTATTTATGAGAATATACTTGTTGTCTTTATTGGTATGCGATTTTGTACTTTATTTCTACTACTTCATATTCAGATGTACGCAAAATTACAATGGATACACTGAAAATATATTTAAATCCTTAACGTGAAATAAAGAAACGAGATAATGTACATCGATATTTGTTAGTACATACGAGTAACGATTACAATTGCGGATTCGTGTGTAACACCGACGAAGTTGATTTCTGGTTGATTTCGAGTAACGATAAGAAAATTAGGAAGGGGAATGAATATTCGCCGCCATCATGGTCTAGCCCGGCCGATGACGTCAAGGAGTAGCGGTGTGCAATCACGCAGCGCATGAAAAACAAAGACGGTGAAAATATTTGTTCTGCATAAAGAAGAGAGAAAAGAAAAGTATGTGTGCGCACGCATAAGAACGAGGAAGATAGCGAGACGAGAGAGCGCAAAGGAGGGAGAAAAGAGGCGTGCAGTAAGCAGTAAGACAGGACAGGACGTAGAACGGCCGCTGCCGTTGTGTTTGGGCTCGGCTCGGTTGTGCCGCTTCCGTTATGACGATACGATCCAGCGCTTGGCGCTGTGACCGGGCAATAAGTTGTTTGTGATTATGCCTAACTGACATAATTATATTTTCGAAAATATTTTAAAGGAACGCGATGGAGGTGCGCATCGTTTCACCGTTTGATTGGTAAACTGGTTCTCCTTTGATCGTTACAATTCTCGTACGCCATGTGCTATTGCCACGCGTGTGTTTCCTTTACCGCTGGATTAATCTCAGTTAAATCTCCGTGAAAACCATCGGCGAACCGTTTTAAACAACGATTACCACTCGTGATCCTAGTGATTCGTGTTAGTGTAGTGTAGGAAGATACTTTTCGCTTTCTCCGCCCTTGCATTTTTGGCCGGCTTGTACCGAGAGAGTCCGAATAAGAACAACAACGGGAGACGTAGAAAAAAAGGATAGACGGTGGATTCGGCGAGCTCGAGTACGAGAGATAACGCGAGGAGCGCAAGTGGTGTATCAAGATGGCGCATAATTTGGCACCGAGCGTCAACTGTTCGCTCGACGACATTGATCTAAACGCATTGAAGGTACATAAATATATGTTATTTTCATTCTACTCAATGTTCAGGAATCACGTATATGTTGCATGATGCCTTCCACCATGGTTCTTTTCCGTATATCTCGAATGAATACAGTGTTCGGTAATTAACCTCGCAAGACAGACGATGACTATTTCTTCTCGGTAGAACAACGGGAGGGAGAAGTCCTCCTTGAAATTCTCTATCGTTAATATTGTTTTCGATGGAATCTGTAAAATCTGTTCACTTTGCCAACACGCCTTCTATTTCATTGACAATCCTTTCGGAAATGATTAATGTGAACCACCGCATTCATTGACATTTAATATAGCAAATACCTGCTACGGCATACGATTTTTATTAAAATTGTCTAGCTTCGAATAGATGTGGAATTATATAAAATATATACCTGTAACTTGCTATATAATTGTACATATCTATATATATGTATATATACGTATATATTATATGTTCTCAGTTATGTACATGTATGTATTAACATGTACAGATTATAAAAAATTTGTTGCCAAAAGTTGACATGCAGTACTCTGATCATAATGTGGAGAGATGAAAAGTTGTATTATATTTAACTAATACATTTTCTTTGTCATTGTTACACAATTATTGTTTTATCAAAGAGTTTCACAATTATACACTACAAATGACACGTAAAATAATAATTATTAATTCAATTATTGAATTCATGGT